GGAGCTCGTCAGAACCATCCTGGCAGCCACAGTGGTTCTTTGGGCACAAATTATTTCCCATAAAGCATTAGGAACCTGCTAAATGTTTTATTGTCACCAATTTATAGGAAAAATATAAATGACTCAATTATATGTATGTGTTGACCACTAACCTAGAGTTGAATATTTAGTCTGAAGTCATGAAGACTTCACCTTGTTTAAAACGCAACTGTTCACTTTTTTTCACCTGCTCAATTCCAACTTCTTACCGGTTTTTGTAGGGAGGAGCTTGGCTAAATATGAAATAAGACGTATTTAGGGGAGTAGGTAGAAGAGGGTAAAGGGGGGATTCATGGGGATGGAAGGAGGCAGTTTGGGGTGGTGAACACCCAGTATCCAGATGGTGTATTATAGAATTGTACACCTGAAACCTGTATAGTTTTCGAGTTAACCAATGTCACCCCAATAAAGTCAATAAAAAAATAAAGGAACGGTGGGGGAAAAGACATATCTTGTACCTTAGGTTCTATGTCATCCTGGCTAGACTGTCAGTGTGATGAGATCCAAGTTTATTTTCAGAGGCAGGGGATAAAGCAGCTGCTGTTCTTAGGGTAATAAACCGTCTATCCTTTCTAGGGCGCTGTCAGCTTAGGGTTAGATTGAAGCAAAGAGGTTGGGGTGGGCTGAGCTGTTTCAGGAAAGGAAAAAAGTCCTTGGTGGAAATAATAAAGCTCTATTTAGTTTCTGGTTTCGCTTTGTTAATCAACATGAAACACATGCTCTCTTGCTTATGACACCTGTGTCAGGTAAGCAGTGACCTGACTGCACGGGTGAGAAAATGGGGCTGAGAGAGGACCTGGACCTGCCAGCACTGGGGAGAGGCCCCCAGCCAGTCCCTGCTGGCTCGGTCTAAACAAGGTCTCAGGGCAGCTCCCCCTCCCACTGGGTTGCGCCCTTTCCTACCCTGTACGTCTGCCTAGGTTGCCTGCGCCTAGGCACCACGTAGGAGTGCCTGAGGGAGGGTGTACGTCCCTGTTCAGACCAGCTGAAGGAGACAGGAAGAGGCAGATTTTTAATCACAGTTATTCAATAAGAGTAAGTGGCTGTTGTATATGGCTGCAGAGGATTCCTGCTTTCTAGGAGCTTGTGGTGCAGGAAGAGGGAGAGCAGGAGACGGGCCTGGGGAGGTCGTGCGGGGCCCGGGAGGCTTTCTAGATGGAGCTCCCTGCAGTGGGTGTGCCATGCAGGGGACACTGTGGATCCACACAGGTGGCCTGCAGAGTCCTCCATGTACTTCGGAGCCACTGCTGACTTTTCAAAGTGGAAGTGGCTGTCTAGCTAAACCTTTAAACAGCTGTCTCTCAGCTCGATGAGGAGCCAGGACTGCAGAGTGGAAAGCAAGCTGCAGCCTTGGCATCGATGGCTCGGGCCCTTGTCTCAACTCTTGCTTTTGGGGCATCTTTGGGCTGCTGCTGACCCTCCCAGATGCTGTCTGTGTATCCGGCAAAAGAGAGGAGTTCTCCGGAGATGATGCCCAACAGTGGGGACAGACGAACACTACTGAACTGTGTACTTAAAAATGGTTACAGTGGTCAAGTTTATGTAAACAAGATGGTGCTTTCCCTGCCTATGTGTTACAGTAATTGATGAAACAAAGGAGGAGGCCCCAGGTGGGCCCTCAGCTGTGACACTGAGGGGCAGGGGTCTCCTGAGATCCCGGACAGCCTGTCAGAGCCCGGACGGGCGTGGCTGCCGGATGCCGAGCCTGTCGGCTTCACCTCCCTCTGTGGACACTTACTTGAGATTTTCTGCGCCCATCGGAACTTGTAGTGGACCAAAAGGAAGTAAAAGATAATGCCGCTGAGTATAAATATCACGCAGTAGAGATACTCCCATGCGGGCTGGCTGATGATTGGGGCCAAAACCAAAAACACAGATACAAGGGTCACCACGATGGGGATGAGGATGGGCACCTGTAGGCAAAGCGACAGGTGTCATAACTTGGCCGTGTGCGTTCACTTTCTCTTGGAAATCGTTTATGCAAAACCAAAACATTGATACAGAAAGAAGAATTAAGGAACTCCATGCGCCCTCTCCTCCAATTTCAATAATATTTAAGTAATTTTGCCAATCTTTCCCCATCCATCTTTTTTTTTTTCTGTTTCCCTAGAATACAAAGAAAATGGCAGACTTCGTGTCCTTTTCCCTACAAAATATTCAGTATACATCTCTAACCGGTGAGGACTTTGTTTTTTTGTTTTTTTTTAGGACTTTGTTTTTAACATGTTTACTCCCTTCTGTTTTTATCTGGTTGTGGATTTGTGTCAGGAATTTAACCTATGCAATGTGGTTGTTTTTTAATTGATTGATTTTAGAGAGGAAAGGGGAGAGAGAGAGAGAGAGAGAGAGAGAGAGAGAGAGAGAAACTTCAATGAGAAAGAACATTGATTGGCCACCCCCTACATGCCCCCGACTGGGAATCAGGCCCACAACCTGGGCATATACCCTGACCAGGAATTGAACTGGCAACCTCTTGGTGCATGGGTCAACTCTCAACCACTGAGCCAAACCGGCAGGGCACTATGCAGTGTTTTAATTCCAGCTTTGCCTGGTAACTCGCTGCTCTGATCCCTCAAATTTCCTTAAGCAGGTGGGTGGAGCTGAAGGCGAGCACAGTGGGTAGCTGGTGCTGGCTCCCTTTGATGTCACATCAGGGGCACCAAGTGTGATTGTCCTACTTCTGTGTCTCTGGTCCACCAGTGGGTTCAGGGCCGAGGGAGGAGTTCAGTCTGCCAGCAATGGATTCCTGGGGCCATGCAGGGAGGTGGGAGGGGGCCCAAACAGTGCAGATGTGACTGTTTATGGTTCTGAGCACAGGATTGGGTCTGGGACCAGAATTCCGAAGTCCCCATCGGTCTATGAAAAGCCTGTGCTTGACAGATACTAGAACTGTCAGAACCGGATATCTTGCTCAGATTAGACAGGCCACAGGTATTCTTGACAACTTAGTAACCTAATAATTAGATGGCTACCTGGATCATAAACTATATGAAATGAAGAGCAAACTTCACTTTAAAACATTTTATTCCAGTTGTGGCCTGTGTGGCTCAGTGGTTGGAGCACTGGCCTGGGCACTGAAGGATCTCAGGTTTGATTCCCAGTCAAGGGCACATACCTGGGTTGCAGGTTTGATCTCCAGGTCCTGTCCGGGTCATGCAGGAGGCAACCAATCGATGTGCCTCACAGTGATGTTTCTCTTTCCCCCACTCATTCCTTCCCTTCCACTCTCTCTAAAAATCAATGGAAAAATAACCTCGGGAGAGGATTAACAAAAACCACATTATTCCAGAGAAGAGTAGGGTTGGAAACAGCATACCCCTGGAGTTTAAAATTGTGACCTGTCCTTCATTTCAAGAAGTCAAAGGCACATGTACCATTTGGGGCACTAACCTACCTTGATAGGCCTTTCCAGGTCTTTCCTCGTGAACCTCATCACGATCAGCCCCAGAACTGTCAGGCCATAAAAGAACCACGCAGCAAAACTGAAGTAGTTGACTAATGAGTTAATATCACCAGGGATGATGTAAATAGTGGCTATGATACCCTAGGAGAAAGAGGAAGAATTCTTAGGTCACTAGTACATAAAAACACCATCCTTGTCCCTTCCCAAGACCGAAGAAGCAGTTTTCCCTGTGGATAAAAACTTCAGGGTGGGAGAGAACTGTACCCCATTGTTTTGGGGGTTAGGCTGGACTGGCTATGATGGGTGTTCTCTTTGAGGCCTGATGGAAAGGACTTGGGAAATCTCTGACTCTGTGAAGTGGTGATTTTAAGCAGGAAATAAAATGTAAAGGTGTGTATATTGCATCAGCTTCCTGAGGATGAATTTTCCTCCCAGAGAGTTTTCCTCATGGGGAAGGGCCCTGGGCTCTGAAACGCAGGCTGTCTAGTTCTGGTCTTCACCTGCAATACCTGCACCTTGCTGTTTCCTCATCTTCAAAGGGAGCAGGTTGACAGAAAACGGTGGTTCTCCTCTGGGGGTGGAGGAGGAGTCTGGCCCTGAGGCTAGGAGGACAGTTTAGGGGCACCCAAGACTGTCGCACACAACCAAGGCCTATCCCCCACTGAGAAGCTGTCAAAGGGCCATTACTGTGTAAGGATCCCACGGCTTCTAAATTACTGGGCCGTCATGGGACGCTGTTGCCAGTAGCCTCCTTGTAAAATGCCCGACTCTCCTTCCCCATAAGTTTGTGGTTTATTACCAGGGACCCAGGGCATACAGATGTACATGAAAGATGCATAGAGGGTACAGCTTGGAAGGTGCAAAGGTATCTCTCAGACAAATTCAGAGCAAAGAGCCAGAGGTTGAGTAAATTGTTTGAATTGTCTTGGGCTTTTTTGTTGCTGTTTCTTTTTTTTTTTATCCTCACCCTAGGACATTTTTCCATTTTTTGTTCAGGTAGAGGGGGAGGGAGAGAGAGGAGGAACAGAGAGAGAGAGAAACATCGATGTGAAAGGAACACATCGAGTGGCTGCCACCCGCACAACCGACCAGGGCCGGGGACAAACTGCAACCGAGGTACGTGCCCTTATCGGGAACCGAACCCGGGTGTCTCAGGACCGCAGGCCGACGCTCTAACCGCTGAGCCAAACCGGCCAGGGCGCTGTTTCTTTTTATTTATCGATTGATTTTAGAAACATTGATTTGTGGTTCCACTTATTTATGCATTCATTGGTTGGTTCTTGTAGGTGCCCTGACCAGGTATCAAATCCTCAACCTTGGCATAGCAGGACGATGGTCTAACCCGCCACCCGGCCAAGGCCTTGGGCTTTTTTTATATACTGTCAGTTCGAGGACTAAGGGAACCTGAGTCATTTGGAAAGCACTGGGCTTAGCCATACAGGTTTACTGCACCAAACAAATTAGGGACGCTCTGCCTTTAAGGGGGTGTTTTCATGGCAGAATTTATACTTACATAAAAGATGATGGCAGGGGCTGGCGTCAGGCGCTTGACACTAATGTACGAGAGCACTTTGAGCATGTGGCCTTCTCGGCCTGCAACATAAACGAGTCTGGAAAACATGGAAGCCAGTGGATTAGCATGCAGGCCGCTGCACCATCGCTGGGCAGGTGTGTTCTCGGCTATACTACCGAGGCCACAGGGAAGGACTGAGTTGTGACCCTGATGTGCTCAGGCAGGGGCTGGCCTCTGGAGGTGGGGGAATTTGGAGACATGAGCGAGAGAACCGCATCCCGTGCAGGTGCGTCACCTAACCTGGGGAAAGGGCTGGGGTGGCTGGGGGAGGCTCTTTCAAAGAGGAGCTACCTTAGCTGAGTCCTGAAAGTTGCACAAGAAATAAATGTAAAAAGTAGTCCAGGGCCAGGTGACTCCAGTGCTTGGAACACCTGACAGAAGCAAACACAGAAGGGCCTTGCACTCTCTAAATCCAGAACTTCCATGTTGAAGGAAGTCAGGCAAAGTCAGGGTAAGTCAGCAGATGCAAACAACGGCCTGGTTCCACCCACGGACTCCTGATGGCTCAGATCTGACACTGGGTGTAAAATGTTAGAGGAGAAGGAAGAAGAGCTAAACCATTTCCCAAAGAGAGAATGTTGCTGTAATTAAAAATGCAATCGACAACAGACAGATACAAGTGAAAAACGAGACTAAGCATGAAGCACAGAGAAATGGAAAGTGGATGGGAGCTGAGAGAGGAAACAGGAAGAAGCTCAAATACACTGGCCGGGGTCAGGTGAATTGAGAGAAGAGCTTTCCCAGAGGTGGCAGAGGGTTCAGATTGAACCCAGTTCTAGAAAAATAGAAATGTACTCAGATATAAGCATGCTCTGGGGGGTGAGGGGGGGCAATTTTTCTCCTTTATTGATTGTAGAGACAGAGGAAGGGTGAGGGAGAGATAGAAACATCCATGAGAAAGAACATCGATAGGCCACCTCCTGCATGGCCCCCACGGGGGATAGGGCCCACAACCTGGACATGTACCCTGACCGGGAATTGAACCAGCGACCTCTTGGTGCATGGGTCATCGCTCAACCACTGAGCCACACCGGCTGGAATGGGGAAAATAATTTTAAGCTAGTGAATTTAAAACAACTACAAAATTAGGACAATCACAACAATAAGCAGACATCTCATGAAAATCACTTTTTCAGTGAACAGTTAAGTGGATTTTCAGATTAAAACTCTCTATAGCGAAGCTATCATTCAAAATCAATACATTTTTAGGTGAATAATAGCTAGGAGACATTTACTATTCTTCAGTCCTCTTTGAAAACTTTTAAAAAACTAGAACACAAAAAGTAACTGACCGCAGTCGTTAATGGTTGAAGAAGCAATGTTAAAAAACAGCAGTAAGGCCCTGGCCAGTTTGGCTCAGCGGTTAGAGCGTCAGCCTGTGGTCCGAGGAGACCCGGGTTCGGTTCCCGCTAAGGGCGCGACCCCGGATGCAGTTTGTCCCCGGCCCTGGTTGGTCGTGCGGGTGGCAGCCACTCGATGTGTCCCTTCACGTCGATGTTTCTCTCTCTCTCTCCCTTCCTCTCTCTCCCTCCCACTCTATCTGTACAAATAATGGAAAAATATCCTCGGGTGAGGATTAAAAAAAAAACAAAAACAAAAAAACCAGCAGTAAGACATGTATGTGTATAAGTATGGGATTTTTAATGTCTGTCATGAGCTCTGTATGGAGGAATGGGTTTATAAACACCGTGTAGCTGATGCACTAGATGATATGCGAGGGAGAGCCTTCGTAGGAGGGAAGAGGATTGAGATTCTGGTACTCTGTTAGGTACTCATGTGAAAATTTAAGGGTGATTGCTGAAAGAATAGAACTGTAACTTCCACATCAGTAGAAGAAAAAAGGAATAAAGACAATTTGATGCGTAATAAATCAGGATAATATATTTTTTAAACGAGGAATACCTAAAGAATTTGTTAGACGTGAATCTAGCTGTATCAGTAATCACATTAAATGTGGCACGATGCACCTGGCCCGGTTAGAGTGGGGTTTGGTGAAAGAGACACAAGCCCTGGTGATGGAACCCTGAGAGGCTGCAGATGAGAGGTGTGGGACATGTTACCAGGAACCGCAGCCTGAAGGAGGCTCATCGAGCAGTACAACATCAGACAGAATAGCATTTAAGGCAAAGAGAGCGAAGAGTTCATACTGAAAAGGGGGACAGCCTACCAAGAAGATACATAACATTTCTTGAAAAGCAAAAATGGACAATATGACAGTGGGAGATTTCAACAGCCAAGGAACAACCTTGATTTTTAAAACAATCTAGAAGAAGATAATAGAATACCCGTTATTTCCAAGACCATAGGAAATATTTACCAAAATTGCAGGAAGCCACAAGGGAAATCTTAAAATTTACAAGGGAAGTGATGGCATGAAGGGCACATACTCTGACTACAACCCAATAAAATTAGCAGTCAGGAAAACAAAGGCCAAAAAGGACCATTTATTCAAAACTTCACGGAGGAACTTTGAAAAGATATAAACATGGTCTCCAGTTAATTCCCAGAACAGTCAGTGAAAGTGGGAGGAAAGGAGCTGCTAGAGGGAGCTGGGACACTCGCACTCAGGAAGGTGCCGTGAATTCACTCTTCAAATCCCCTCAGATCTCCACAAATCGATCTATGAATTCAAGTGGGACTTTCGGGACTGGACAAGATGTTGCAAGTGCATCTGGAATACCAAACAGTCAGGAAACAGTCTGACATGGGCACACCGGTCCTACCAGATTTACCCTGACTGAAGCTGCGGGGTGTCTAAGTGTGATAATAGTCAGGAAGAGACCTGTACATGGGACGAAGTGAACCACATACATTGGGAATGCTGATGGTGGCATTTCAGCCCAGTCGGGAAAGGGTAAACTATTCAGGAAGAAATACTGGACGACAGGTAAATGTTTGGGGTGGGGGCAGTGAGATCTATGTCTCACATTAAATATATCCCAGATAGCCCTGGCCGATTTGGCTGGGCGGTTAGAGCATCGGACCACGGAACAAAGAGTCGCAGGTTCGATTCTGGTCAAGGGCACGTACCTTGGTTCAGTCCCCAGCCCTGGCCCAGGTCGTGCAGGAGGCAACCAATCAATGTGTGTGTCTCATGTCGCTGTCTGTCTGTCTGTCTCTCTCTCTCTGTCTGTCTCTGTCTTTCTCTCCTTCTCTCTCTCCCATTCTACCTGAAAATAAATGGGGGAAAAAGTATCCTTGGGTGAGGATTCAAAATATATATTCATTCCAGATTGGTCAAAGAGCTACACCAAACTTCTGGGAGAAAGCAGGTGGATATTCCTGGAAGGAGAGAGGAAGGTGTGTCTGTGTGAGATAGAAAACTCAAAACCAGTCAGCAAAGATCTTAAATTTGACCCCTCAAAAATTATATCCAACATAACCAAGTATAGCATAAATCCCTCTCCAATCCCCAATACAGAACTATCCCAAATGAACTCAAAATGGGTCATATACCTGAATGTAAAAGACAAACCTGTAACACTTCTAGGATAAAGCAGAAGAGAAACTCTTTGCGACCTTGGGTTTGTGCCAATCATAACCTCTGTTTGCTTTCAGGCTGCAAAACAGAGCTGAGCAGTTGTGCAGACTGAGATGGCCTGCAAGACTAAATGCTCACTGCCTGGCCCTTTAAGGAAAAGTCTGCCCATCCCCGGGTCTAGACTGTGTATAAATGAACAGGAGACCATGTTCAAGAACTATCATTAGGTCGGAAAGAAGTACAAGGTGAAAAGTACTACATGCGCCCCAATGCCTTGCTCACCCTGTGTCACCAGACTGCCTAGTGCTGGAGGAACCCAGGGCCTCTCTCCGGTGGGCCGTCCAGGGACAGTGTGCCAGCTGGCCCACGCTTTCTGCTCCCCTCCCTGGACCTCAGGTTTCTGCTTGTACCCTGAGGGGTTTAGCCTGCAGAGCCCTGAGGATGTGAGCCCTGAGGATGTCTTCGGGTGTGAAATCGTCTCTGGTGCCCCTGTCCCAGGGATGAGTGTCCAGGTCCCCTACCTGCCGGCTGTGAAGCAGGTCCCATTCGCGGCACCGATGGTGGAGAACGCCACAAAGAGGGGAACCACCCAAGAGGCCGGATAGAGAACACGGTCACCAAATGTCTGGGGAGAGAAGCAAGATGAGTCCTGAAGGTCTCGCGTGGCCTCTGAGAGCCAGGGGTCCCACGAAAGCAGCTGTGCCATGGGGGCCCGGCCCCCACCCCCGAGGTGCGTGCAGCCCCTGACTCTTGGAGAAGAAAAGGGAAGAGCCCCTCTGGAGGGGTCAACTGGGCCTCTTCTCTGCTCTCCAGAGTGTCCCCGCAACTTTGATGGTCTCAGAAATCTCTCCTCCTCCTCTCTCTAATTCTCAGTCATCAGCAGATCATTTGGACACTCTGGCCCCTCATTCAGAATGACCTGTTCTCCCTCCCGCCGCAGCTGGGTGAAGTCATCTCCCCACGCTCCCCGTCATTGTCACCTCAGCGTCTGTTTCTAGTTGGTTTCCTGTCGTACCCCAACTCTACGAGGCCTCCAGCACATGGATCCCGCACACCTCTTCCACTGCCCCTCACACAGTCTTCCCTTCCCTCCTTACTCACAATGTATTATTACAACTCCCTCCTTCAGTGGATCCCTTGCATTTCTCTCCCTTATACTTGTCTGTCAAAACCCCAGCCCTGCCCCCAGAGCCCTGGTGTGTGTGGGAACCTTCCAGCATGGCTCAGGTGGGTCTTTAAAGGTGCTGCCCTAACCTGTTCTCTCTGGACACCTCCTCCCAGATGACGTCCCTCCTCCCCTGTGAGGGTCTTGAGCTTCAGCATGTATAGCTTGCCTGTCCCTCCCCACAGAACGCAGCACCCTTCCCCAGAGCCCTGGGCACTCACCACGGCCACTGCCGGCGACTGCAGGAGCTCGGTTGCTGTCATCACAGTGAAGTAGGAAACATTCATGAGGATGTAGCACCCTGTCACCAGCGGGATCCCGATGATGATAGCCAGGGGCAGGTTTCTGGGAGGGTGGAAACCCCGGGGGCCCAGGGTCAGATCAGAGCATC